TGTATTTATCCCTCTCCAGTTTTAATCACCTCATCAACTATAGTTCTATCAGAATCCTGGCTCTTGACCCAAATATTTTAGAGAATGCAATTGATTAAGCAAATGCCACTATGATATGAATGAATGCCTGATAGGCCCTTTTATCTTTTGTCAGGAATGACTGCATTGTCACAAATTATTTCCAATAAGTGACTACTAATAAGTTTCTCAAAGAGGCATGTAATATATAGTAGGTGAGAATATACAGTAGAGTTCTCTCAACATTCATTAATTTATTGATTCAAGTAACACATAAGACTGACTGTGTCACCCTTTGATCCTTTGTGACTAGTGACAGACTACAATGCAAGATTTTGAGGTATGGGGATTTTTCTTTATAAATAAACTTACCGGAATGGAGTTCAAATCTGTGCCCTGGGTCTTAAAGCTGTGAGTTATCCAATTTAAGCTAAAAAACATCACTGATAAAGTTCTACCGTTACTGGAGGTGTGGAATGAAATGGTCTCCTTAAAAGCTTGAAATGACAAACTTTTAAAGGTTTTTCCCACTAAGATTTCTAAAATGTAAATCTATTAGTTGTCAGATGATTATGGTTGTCCATGCCTATAATCCCAGAATTTAGGAGGCAAAAATTGGAGAATTGCTGCAAATTTGAGGCTATCCAGGACAACAGTGTAAGACTGTGTCAAAAATCTATTATTTTCATTTAAAAATGGCCAAAAATATAAACACTCCTTTAGCCTCAAGAGATGAGAAAATAGCATAGTCATCCAAGAACCTGTTTTTTAAACAGATTTATAGTGATACTTCATTTTTATAAAATAAAAGGATCTTTCCATCTTAAGCCAAAGCAGTTCTTAGAAGGACCTGGGCCATTTGAAATGTACATTTGTATGTGATTTGCTTCTGCAACATTCTTGAAAATTTATCAACTGGGATGGAAAGCTGCTGATATGTTATTTGAAACTCCCACTTTGCATTCCATTTTTCCTTCTCCATTAGTTGGATAACAGGAAGAGTTTTAATTTATCAGGCTTTGACAAAGAAGCCATGGGCATATTTCCTCCAAATTAAAAGCATGATGAATTAGTGTCAAAGGGAGGCAGGAAAACATGGATGTGACATTAGCACCTAACAAAATCTGTTATGAAAATACCTTCCTTTGTTTATACTACAGTGTATTTGTTGCTCTTACCATGTAAATATGCTATCAGAGACAAATCTGTTGCAGAATATTGCTTGTTATAGAATATTCACTTTATCCTCTTGTTTCTGGATTTGTTCTTATTTAGATAAGAACACTTAGGTGAAGCTCATTAAGGATGATATACACTTTAGCATAGACATCAATCAAATTTTCACTGGAACATTATGTTCTCCCTTATTTCATCTACAAACACCTGATTATTCACTGCATTTCTCTCTTTATCAGAACCTTATTTGAGGGAGGAAATAATTCACTTTTAAGAGGGAAAACACAACACAAAGACGGAAAAATGAACATTGAAAGAAAGAAATACATGTTTGTTAGTTGGAAATCATTTATTGCCTCTATAAAAGTTTAAATAAAAACTCTACAAAAATTCACATTACAATCTGATGTGGTTTAAGGTGATAATATGCTTCAGAGGTAGTACCAGTAAAATGGGATGCAGAATTGCTAAAAGGATTACTCAGTAAGTTAATGCAAAATAAGATTTCAGTGAGGAACAATATATACTCAGTATACACTTTAATGGAACAATCAATTATATTTGCATGAAAATATCACTTTAATCTCTTTCCCCCTTGGCAAATCTGTTCTTAATAAAGGCTTGTTTTAAGTAAGCCATGTTAAGTAGACTGTAGTTCACAAGTTCATAGGATCCTCCATTAGAGCATTACAAAACATAGCCTGCTGAATGGCATGATACAGTGCTGTCTGCCAAGGATAAAACAACTTGATAAAGATATCTACCTACCATTTAGATAAAGTGGCACTGGCAACTCTTGAGAAGATAAGACATTTTTAAAAATTTGGGGATTTGAATGAAAATCCAATGGTTTAAAAAAAGCACACTGTTCCTGGTTTTCCACTACTACTGTACGGAGAAAAGGCAGCAGCTAAAGTTTTCAGGATTTTTCTGAACAGGGATCATAAACAATCAGGCTGAGATGAAAGACTGAATGTGCCTCCATCAGGCTGAGATGAAGGACTGAATGCGCCTCCATAAAAAAGAAACAAAGTCAGTTTTAGAGTCCAGTGTTTGTCTATATCTACCACTTATATTTTCTTCTACAACCTTATAAGACTGACTAATATAAAAGGCCTCAAAAATAGATTTTTCTGTCTTTGCAGACGTAAGCTCTTGGACACCTTTTGAGGTCTTGGTATTAATAGTACACTGAACACAGGATGTGAATGAGACACAGCCTTTTTTCTCCAACAGTAACAAACACTTCTATCACACCGGCAATATAAAAGTCCTGTTGATAACTGACCTTACAACAAAACACCCCAGGTTCCCAGAACCGGCCAATTTTCTTTCAACGTTTTCTTTGCATGTGTTAATTTTCCTATTCTCCAGGGCAACTGCAAATCTCATTTTCTTGTACCTAATTTTAGCTTGACTAAATTAGGAAGGAACCTTGTTTTTGTTGTTGTTGGTAGTGGTGCTTCAGGGTTTTTCTAGCTCATACTTTAGAAGATAAGTGATCTTAGATACATCCTACATCCTTAGAAAATACTTGGTATACTAAGCTTAAAGTAGACATTTCAATGCAGTTAAATAGAAAAACAATTTTTACATTCACTTCTATTTCTCAGAGTGATAATTCAGATAATATAATCTGTGTTAATATTGTGAATGCCTTAAAGAAAGAAATATTAGTTGATCTTCACCATCAGCCATGAATATGTTCAGAAGAAGAGTCAAAAGCTGTTATTTTTCTTGCTTTAAAATATCTCAATGTCAAATCCAATCCATGTATGTGAAAATATGCTTTCATTAGAGCAGTTTCATTTTTTTCTCCTGCAGTCCTAGGGAATGACCCCAGGACCTTGTGTATATTCCAGGCAAGTGCTCTATCACTGACCTAGCTATATACCCAGACTTAGAATACTTTTTTTTTAACTACTTGACCTTGACTTCTTTGAGGTCTATGCTCATGTTTCCATTTGCCAAATATGACTTTTCTCCCGGCATACTACTATTTTCTTTGGGTCCAGCTACAGAACATCCACATTTCATTTTAAAAATGTTTTAATTCCAGTGTTGATAAAATATAGCATTCTGTGACTGAAAGACAAATACAAGAATAAAAGGAGTAGTCTGAAGTAGACTGTGATGACAATACTTGCTATTTAAATGGAACTTTAAATAGGAGTAAGGGAACAATTTACACTTCCTCTCAAAATTGTAGAGGAGGATTTCTTCTAAGAATCACATCTAGTAGAATCCTTAAATCAATCACATATCTAGTTAAACATCTTTTATTAACAGCCTTGAAAAAGTTAACAGAAAAAACTCTTTTTATTTTGAAATAGGATCTCACTACATGGTCCAGATTTCTTCAGCCTACCTAGTGTTGGAATTCCAGGTGTGTGCCACCCTATCAACCTGAAATATTTCTCCTTGCAGTTGATAGATTGTTAAGAGATCCAATGTCTAGCACAGTTTCTTTTCTATAACAAGAATTCCATGAATATTCTTGATTTAGTGACTAATTTCTAATATGTGAAAAATAAAATCCTTAGTGTTAAAACATGTAGAAAGACTCATCTATACTTTGTAATGAGAACGAACAAGGTAGAGGATTAAATTGAAGCAGTAGTTTAAGTTCAAAGAAACTTCAGTGACTCTGAAGGAGACCATGGGAAATATTTGAAGGACTGGAGTTTTTTCAGACTCTTGAAGAAATCGAACATGAGTGCAGTGCAGCATACCTGCAATCCCTCATTAGGGAACTAGAGGCAGGACCTGTAGAACTTCAAGGCATCCTCACCTACGTCAGGAGACTAAGGTCAGCCTGCGCTACTTGAGATCTTGTCTTAATCTTTCACTCCGTAAAATAGAAATGCTGTCTGTATTTGCTGTATATACTGGAGACACTTTATTTCCTCTGAATGCAATTCAATTCTTCAACAAGGAATAATAAATATTGTTTGCAAAGAACCATATGATTCTCAGATAAAGGGAGTGTGACTGACGACTGAAATATTTTTGCTAGCGAAGAGGCCATAGAAGGAATTGGGCAGCATTACAAAGAGCTGATAAAATGAAGGACCATTAGTGAACTGAATAGACAGTTCAAAGTGAAAGTCATTTGTGATTGCCTTTCTGCATTCACAAATTAGTATTAGTAAATTCCAAGATCAGAATCTGCTGCAGTTAAAAAATTTAAAAATATCCAAAATTGGATGACTAAAACAGCCGTTTAGCTGCTTCTAATGAATCTTTCAGGTACAGATAATAATTTAATTATGTAATCTAATTCCACACAATCAAGTCACTAGTATATGGCATTGTGAGCTTAGGGAGAAACTAGTATTTTTCCCTTCTATGAGTCTTAGTAATACCAGCTCATAACGGGGAAGGGACGATCTAGAAAGCATGTAGAGTTTGCTGCCATCTGGTACCTACAAATGGAACAACTGGGTACCATGCCCAGTTTAGGTGTGCATTCATAGAAGAATATCCAGGAAATTCAGGGGACTTTGATTTCAACCAAAGCAGTATAACTCTTTCTGGATATTATCCTTGGCTGATGGCTCTATACAGGCCTCATATGGAAATGAGGTAAGTTTTGTGGCAAAGCTGAGTGATCAGATTATAAAAAAAAAGCTCTCAGTGCCTTTCCTTGACTTCTTATTTCATGAAATGTATGAACTGAAAAAATACTATGAAAGTATAAGCTTGAAGTATTTGTGCAGTAGTTTGTCTAATGTCTAACTCAGTTACATATGCTTTTTATATAGTAGAATGTCAGTCATGAATATATATCATGTGCCATAATGAAGAATTTGGATTATGATTAATCTTTTATACTATGTCGCTTCTGTACACTTAAAATGGTATTTGAAAAATTGGTGAATTGACTTTCTATAGAGTTTTCCGCTCCTTCCAGTTTTGGGGTTAGACAATAGAATACCAATAACTTACAACTACATCCTGGTAATCAATTCAATTTTCACCCATTAGCTTAAGTCAAATAGGAGGTGAAAAACAAATTCTAGGATTCACCCCAGTTAAATATAGTTTTTAAACAAATTTTAAGTTTGTTTTTAATTTTCAGTTGAGTTTCCTGAGTAAAAGTGTATATGGGATATGAGAAAATGAAAGAGGAAGAAATAAGATGGAATGGCACAAAACTAGACTACTCCAGGTTTAGCAACTTAGCAAGTAATGTAGAAATATACTTATTTTGTGTGTCTCTGGCTAAAACTGTTACTGTGATTCTCCTTAAAAACCAAGCAAAAAAGTCTTTAAGAAATCAGACACAATAAATTTTATAGCTGAGTGGCTCAAAAATAAATATAGTTTTCCAGGATTTCATATAAGTTTGGAAAAATTCTTTCAAGTGCTTTTAATTTTTGTATTTATTTTTTGAATTGTAGACATTATATCTTGACCTTCCTTCATGGAATATATGTTTTAACAATGTATTTTTTCCGGTTGAAGGCTATTGGGACACAAAATGCAGTAATCTTGAAATGTACATCTGTTAGGTAACCAAACGACTATATCATATATTCCCCCTCGAATCACAAACTGTCTGAGGCATTTTTCTCTGATAAAGAAGACACACTGAATGAGGTATCATCAGGATCCGATGAGGCATGATTGAAATCCATCTCTTCTAATTCAGGAGGTAAATCTGACAGCAGTGCCTGAGTAGGAAAAAATCAATTATTTTGGATTAGTTTGTTGACAGATGTTGTTTTCCAATTTTATGTTAATAGCTGTAGTGCTCTTGTTTTACTTTATTCTTATGAATTTAGAGAAAGAAACATTTCATTTTCAGGATCTTACACAATATTTTATGTGAAAGAATAAGTCTTCATATAATACTAGAGAAGGAACAAAATACTAGATGCTGAGCATGGGGAAATGTAGACTAGAATCTTGTACAAAGGGGAAATGAGGGAACTGAGCAGCTTTTCCGAGATCTAGAGTGTTCAGGTGGAATGACCACGGACATGAGGAACTATTGAGAACCAAGGGCTTTGAAAATGATGGGCTAAATTATTTTTATAATAATTTGTGTGTTCACTGATCACTACTAAAGGACTTTAAAATTACACTCTCTTTAATTAAAATATTCATACCTAGTTATGCTATTCTTTAGAGAAATCCATGTTTCACATGGATTAGGAGAATAAATTTAGCAGTTAGGAATAAAGTAATTTTTATTTCATTTTTGATTAATTTTTTACCAATTTGAAAAGACCAAGTGAATTTTTTTCCTTTCCTTAGGTTATGTCCATATCTTCAGATGGCCAAGCACCCATTAAGGCCAACTGAATCAGGGACCTGAGCCATTTTAATGATGTATCTGGAAGATTGCTCATTTCTCTGCTGGAGGAATAATGCTGTGCCAAGAACCATGAGCTAAGCTGGTCATGATCTAATTGCTTCATCTGGACTTGCAGAACATGCATCTATACTACAGAAATAAACAAATAGTCAAGTTTCATGTGTTACAGTGCTGATGTCCACTTAACCACACGAACCTGGAATTAAAATAACATAGCATATTACACAATTTTTTAACAGTGTTACTTGTACTGTGGGCTTAGGGTTCAGTACCAAACAAGAAGCAAGGGAATAGGCACAAATGAAAGCAAACTACTACCTAATTAGCAGACATACCTACTGTTGAAAGAGTACAGGGGTTTCTATTCATTAAAAAAGTAGCAGTTGCACATCACATACGTTTTACCTTATAGCACAGAAATAAGTTGAGGACTTTCTCAGCCTTTTTTCTCTGGCTTTGTCAGACTATGTAGTGAAAGGCTAACACATGCGGATGAAAAATTTGTTATTTATATCATTAAATGACTGATGAATTTCTTGCTGAACCTAAGTACATTTACACAGTATATCAACATAAAGATACTACATGCTTTTTAAGGTGCTGGGTTCCAATAACAGGACTCAGAGGCATTTTCTTTTAGAACAGTGGGCTATTGCTAATCCAGTTTAGGTACAGTGGAGTCTTTGCTGATATTGGCTGCTCAGAATGTAAGCAATGCCTCACTGGATTCAGTTCACTATGTAGTTTTTGAATATGTCATATTAAAGAGGAAAAGAGCTCAAATTGGCACTCACTGAACACATAATTAGAATATTAGAAAGTCAAGTGGATTGATTAGAAATGTAATGACATTCTACCTACTGGACAGACCTGAAAACTAGAGAAACATTACTGTTTATTTCTTCATCAATGCATTACATAGTGTTACTGACTAAAATGAGTATAGAACAAAAATTTTAATCTATGAGGTTAGCATGCAGCACTACTGATACATGGAGTCCACTTCAAAATTGTTCTTTCAATATTATACTGGTTTCAATATTGGGACAGTGAAAAAAATCTTTGGATTATGTCAATTGTTGAAATTGCCTTTTCCAGATATAAGTAAGCACAATAAACTTTCTCTTCTTTTATTTTCCACACCCCCTGTGCTGGAAATTGAACACGGGGCATCATGTACTCTGAAAAACCACTCTACCACTCAGTTATATTTACAGCCTCAACATTCTTTATTATATCTTCTTCATCAATGACAACTATTTTCAAGGTCTGACCAAATGTCATTTTTTTTCCAAAAGATCATTAACACTTTCCCCAAATATGCACTCAGTCTCTCTAATACTTATTCTAGACCCTAAGATGTGAATATAAAACTGATAATCATTTTTATCCTCCTTGCAGAGTGGCAAAATTGAAGTTTAAGAAAGGCAATCGATCTGGCTAGGATCACACAGTGAATTATAAGGGGAAGAAAGACCATAACTAATGACTTAGAGCAATGTTGGCAACATTATCTTGATGTTAAAATGGCTATTATTGATTTAAATATATATATGTATATATCTATATATAAAATTCTGGACTTCTTCATCGGACCAAGATATTTCATATAACTTATACAAATGAAGATTAATGAAAAACTGGATTAAAAAAATAAAAAACTAATGGAAAAATCTTTCTCTTTTATTTGGTAGAATAAAAATCATTTCCAGAAATAAACTTCTGAGCATTTCGTGGCTTGAAGATCATTAGTTTGTCTCATGTACGTAGATTTTACACACACACACACACACACACACACACACACATATATATATTAGTTAGTTAGCTAAGTTTTTTAGAGACAAAGTTTTCCAATGTATCCCAGGGCAGACTTGAATGTATGATCTTCCTGCTTTAACTTTTCAAGTGCCAGGATCATCATTTGTGCCATCATTAGACCCAGTGTGCTTTATGTTCTGAGAATATATTTTGAGACCCGTTATGCTTAATCTCAAGCTCGAAAGTACATAGTTTGTATTTGAGGTGTTGATGATATATGTTTTGACACAGTATATTTTTTATATCATTTTCTATTTCAGCCCACTTTTTGTTCGTAACAGAAGTCTTTATCAGAAGCAAAGTACAAAAGGAGAAAAAAAATGTTCCTTTTCCTATTTGTTAGTGATATTTGAGAAAGAACCAAACTGAAGGTGAAGTTCAAAATAGAAAATAAAATGGAATTTATGTGATACTTCCAGATGTCAAGAGACAAAGATAGGTAGTAGTTAACTGGACTTGGAACTGATTTCAAAACCATACTAAGGTTTTTCAGACCACAAATACACTTTAAGTTATTTCTAAAGTTGGCCCTAAGTTTTTGTGTATATATGTTCTACAATTACCTAAATTTCATGATACTCTTTAGACTATGTTCAATAGTATCACTCTTATTCCTTTAAAATCTGTATTTTGGGTTCCTAAAAACAAACATTTTTTTCTTTGTTTTGTTTGCTAATTTGTTTTGAGATAGGGTCTCACTACATGGCCCAGGCTGAATTTAAACTCACAGCAATCTTCCCCCATGGGCTTTCCTAGTGCTGGGATGACAGGCATACACCACCATGTCTGTCTTATAGACACATATTCAATTTGGCATGCTATATGCATAAGTCACATAATGAGGCAATATACTAAAATAAAGCTAGATAAAGCAACTAAAGACCACTGTCTTGGAATCTCTGTGCATGTTCAGAGTTGAGAGGATAAAATTCATGAATTTGGACACCTGAACACATAATATACATTCTGGCTTTCATTCTATGAGAAAAATTTTCTAGTTTAAATACTGTGGTTCAATACATTAGTTAAACATGCAAAGCCCTCTTCTTTGAAAGGTGGAAGAAATACGTTATGTTAAGACATTAATCTTTTCCCAGGAGATGTCTGGGATGGGCTTTATATGTACAATCTTCTTTGGGTATAAAGAATCAATTTTTGTACTTCTGACAGTGCCTGCTAAATAAAACCCTCTGAGACTATGTAGTAAATTATAGTTCCCTGCATCCCACACAGTTCATATATAACTTCTCTGATAAGAAATCAGTATGGTGACGTAAAACTCAGAAGCAAATTTGGCATTGTTTAGTATTAAATGTAATATTTGACATAATTATATAATTCTTTTTCAAACTTAGCTATACATAAACCCTGAGGGCCAAACGTAATTTGGAAGCAATCTATAAACAAACATCCATGGCAATAAACAAAGGACATGTCATCTTTGGAGTGAGGGACTCAAGAAAATTTTTACTTATGTTGCAAAATATGATGCACTATGGTCACAAAGCTTTTCACAAAGTAATTTCACATTTTCTTAGTGAGGAGCAACATATTACAGAACAGAACATATTCAAATATGTGAAATCTAGCAGCTAGCAGTTAAATAAATGTCCTTTTCTTTCATTCAGAAAAGTCTCCCAGAACATGCTTCTCTAGTTAGGAGTGACAATAACTCCTTTTGTACAAACATTTTGAGCAATTTCTTGAAAATTATTTTAAAACCAGGGTTTTTCCTACTTAAAGGCTGCCATGAAATTAACAAAGTAGTCTAATAAGCTCTTTTGACTTTGCACTACAGTAGTCTCCACACACAAAAACTCTGAACTTCTATTCTAAGAAAACTGCATTTAAAAAGATCAAAAAACCACCCTTTTCTCCGTGAAATTCCATGCAGGAATGAAGACTACAAATGAAGAGATATGAAGAATCCAAATGTGACATGCCATTTTTCAACATGACGCATTGCAACTTGCTAGTCCTCATGGGACTTACCTGCTGTTGATCCTTATCATCAGCTTTCATAGCTAGAATCAGGCTTCTAACAAAAGTCTGGAGCTTAAAGTATTTTTGCTTTTGAATCTCTAGCTCATTTTCAATGTATCTGACTTCTTCATTCTAAAAGAAAAATCATCAAACAATAAAATTACTCCATGTAAACCTAGGGCTGTACATATTTGATGAGCGCAATAATACTTGAAAAAGCAATCTAATATAGGGGTAATAAAGAAAATAAAATTTTAGAGTGAAGGAATATAACATACAACATCTTGTTTTTTTTTCCCTCCAAGACTGATTTTTAAACAAGTCAAGTCATCAATAGAAATCAATTTACAGATCGATTCCAGTAAGGGGAAAAAAACAAGAAAGACTTATCTTCTTGGAAAGAACTCTCCTATATCAAGCTTAATTAGCATTTGGATCAGGGTTAAGAATGGAGTCCAATTGACCCTAAGAGCAATAGAAGATGCAATAATACTAAACGTATCATTCAGAGCCAAATACTGAACCTAAAATAGTTATTTTATACCAACTAGAGACAGAAATTATTAAAATTTTAAATAGTTCTCCGAGTTTCCCCCCATTAACTGAGAATCTGTTATTTAGAAAATATTCTCAAATGTACTACTAGTACCACTATCCCCAAATGCACCACTAATTTGCAGCTCAGTTTCTAGTCACTATATTTGCTATTTGATTAAGGAAAGAACATTGAACTAAGATTTAGGGATGGCCCAGTGTTGGGTATACTGATAACTGTACAAACTTGGGTGGGCCAATTAACTTCTCCATGAGTCTGTTTGCTCCTCAGTACAATAGATATAATACTCTTAATCTGAAGCTTAAAGTTCTAGCTTTGAGGGTCATGGGGTTCAAATTTAAATTAGATACTGTGCATGAAAATTCTACATATACTTTTAAAGCTACAATAAATAAAAAACTGTACTATTTGACTAAGGGTACAACAACTCAGTGGAACTGAACACAGAGCCCAGAAATAGATCCATAGATGTATGAGTGATTGGTTTTTGACAATGTTGCTGAAGTGATTTTAAAATCCCCCAATCCCCCCAAAACAAAAATCCCCAAACTCACAGTCTTTCAACAAAATGGTAGAACAATGTAAATCCACATGCAAAAAAAAAAAAAGGATTATCAACCCTTACTCACAAATTTTATTAAAGTGGATCATATCATGAAATGTAAAGCCTAAAATAGGGGCTGGAGATACTGCTCAGTGGTTAAGAGCACTAGCTGTTCTTGCAGAGGACCTGAGTTCTATTCCTAGCACTCAGGTGGAGGCTAACAACCATTTGTGACTCCAGTTCCAGGGGATCCTGTGCTCTCTTCTGACTTCCGTAACATTGCATGACATGCATGCCAGCAATACACTCAGAGACATATAATAAAAGTAATAGATTTATATATACCTGTATATATATATACATATATTTGTGTGTGTGTGTGTGTGTGTGTGTGTGTGTATGTGTGTGTGTGTATTTGGTCTTTTTGAAACAGGGTTTCCATGTAGCCCCAGCTGACCTGGAACTCACTATGTAGACGAGGCTGGACTTGAACTCACAGAGGTCTGCCTGTCTCTACCTCCCAAGTGCTGGGATCAAAGGTATGCGCCACCACGGCCAGCTTAAATAAAATATTTTTTTAAAAACCTAAAATAATAAAATCTCTACCAGAAAATGAGAGGAAATCTTTGAACATTGCGTAAAGCAAAACTTCTTAAACAGGACACACACACACACACACACACACACACACACACACACACACAAACCCAACAAAAACAAAACAACAACAAAAAACCACCATGAAACTTAAAAGAAGACTTTCCAAAAAAAACCCCAAAAAACAAACAAACAAACAAACAAACAAACAAATGCTTCCCTTTGCAAAAGACACTGTAAAGAGGTGAGAATTGTAGCACACGCTTGTATTCCAGCATTTGGAAAGTGGAGGCAGGAGGATCAGGTTTTTAGGGCCAGTGTAGGCTATATAAGACTCTGTACAAAATGCATGAAATCCTGAAGTCTGATGGGGCGGGTGCTGATAGGGGAGGGGATCTAAATATGATTAAGATATATGAAATGATATATATACTTTAAAAAATAAAGGATCAGGGATAATTAAAAGCACTAAAGAAAATTAAAACACAAAGCACATATTGGAAGAAAATATTCTAATTCTCATACCATGAATGAGGATCTCAAAATTGACAGCTCTTTAAAATTAAAATTATTTATTCACTTTTATTTTATGTGCATGAGTATTTTTCTTGCTTGTATGTAAGTGCAACCATGTCATTTAATGCCAGGGGAAGCCAGAAGTGAGTGATGGATCCCCTGGAACTAGAGTTATTGAACATTATTAGCTTCCTTGTGGGTGCTGGGAACCCACGCTGGATCCTCTGCAAGAGCAGACAGTTCTCTGAACCACTGAGCCATCTCTCCAGTCCCGAGAAAGAACTCTTAGATTTCAACTTAAAAACCATCAACAGACTAGAAAGCAAGCAAGATATCTGAACATACACTTCACGAAAGAAGATATGTAATCAAAAGGCACTTAACATAATCTGGGCCTGGTGGTTTACACCTTTAATCCCAGCACTGGGGAGGCAGAGAAGCAGGTGGAGCTCTGTGAGATTGAGATCAGCCTGGTCTACATAGAGAGTTCCAAGCCAGCTGAGACAACAGGGAGATCGTGTCTCAAAAAGAACAAAAAAATAAAAATAAGAAGATACTTGACATACTTTTTATTAAGGAAATCTAAATTAAAACCACAGAGAGCTACTACTAGCAAATTACAGTGGCTAATGTTAAAGAAATTAACAATAGCAACTATTGGTGAGAATACGGAGCAATGAGTCACATGTTGCTGGTGGCAGTGTCAAATAGTAATGTGACTTTGGAAAACAGTTTTGAATACCAAAAATTCAGTATATTCTTTCTTAATAATCCTTCTCTTAGTAATTTACCCAAGAACAATGAAAATACATGCCCTCTAAATACTTATACATGAATTCTCATTGCAACTATATTCATAATAGCCCCCAAATGGAAACAATCCAAGTTTTCATTAGCAAATGGTTGTGGTCTGAATGTACCTTGTTCCCCCTCAGCTCATGTGTTCGAACACTTGGTCCCTACCTGGTGGTGCTATTTTTGGAAGACTGTGGAACATTTAGGAAACAGAGCCTTGTCAGAAGTGGCTCACAGAGGGCTGACCTTGAGGTAATACAGCCTGGAGCCACTTTCTCTCTTCTATCTACTTCAGGATTGTGGATGTAATGTGCTGACCCTTTCACACTTCTGTCCCTAGACCTGCCTTACTATGATAAGCTTTGAACTGAAAGTCCAAATAAACCCTTCTCTTAAATTCTTTCTTGTCAAGGACACAGAAATTAGAAAACTAACTACTACACAAGTGAATAAATAAAGTGTCAAACTTATGTAATTACATAGAAAAATGGTGAATTCAACTGTATGGAAATTATTTTATTGTTTGGAAATTATGTAACACTACACTGAATATCTATCTATCATCTATCTATCATCATCTATCTACCATCTATCTATCTATCTATCTATCTATCTATCTATCTATCTATCTATCTATCTATCTATCTATCATCTATTCAGCGATGGTGATGTGCTCCTGTAATACAATCTCTACAAATAAATTTGAGGCTAGCCTGGACTACATAGACAACTAAGTTTGAGGCTAGCCTGGACTACATAGTAAGACTGTCTTTTATAAAAATAAAACAAAAGAGGAGGCTAGGAGTGTAGCAGGCTGTACAGCACATGCTCGAAGCCCTGAGTTTGATCGCCAGCACTGCAAAGCAAAAATGAAAACTACACTGATACCTCAAATAATAAAAAACTTAGATGGGCATGATAGTACATGCCCGTAATTGTTAACACTCCAGAGTTTGAAGTCAGCCTAGGCTACATACTGAAACCTCATCTTAAACCTGAGGCAAAGAAATGTAATTCCTCCAGTCTAACAGAAGCTTTGCACCCCATGGCCATCAACCATCTCCCAGTTCTCTTTCTTCCTAGTCTTGGCTAGCCACCATTCTGTCTTGTTTCTTTGAGCTCAACTGTTTTAGATTCCACATTTAAGTGAGATTATGTCATACTTGTCTTTCAGCACCTAGCTTATTTTACTTAGCATAACTTATTCTCTCAAATTCTATTCATGCTATTAAAATGCCAAATATTCTTTTCGTTTAATAGTATATGTGGAAAGTATTGTAAATAAGGTGCATTCCATTATCATTGAAATAGCAAATTCAAAGTCCTTACTACAGAAAAAAAGTATTTGAGGTGATGGATATGTTAATTAGTTTGATTTAATTATTTCACATTTTGTTCATAAATCATACCATGGCCTTGTACCTCGTGAAAATATAAACATATAATTTGTCAATTTACAATTAAAATATAAATTATAAAAATAGGAATAAAAATGGAATGAATTATCAGTCAGCCTCTCAGAGTACAGCAGGACTTTAGAAAGCATTTGTCCAAAATATTCCCTAAAAATACATTAAAATTTGTTGATTGTATTGGTATTTTTGCTGTTTCAACTAGTGTAGATGCTGTGGTATTAATCACATTCAATATTTGAACATGTTTACTGTATCATTTATTAGCTCAGTTTAAATCTTATTTTATATGATAAAAATGCTTCCTTTCCCAACGACTTAATAAGTGAAACATCTGTACAAGCTAAATTTCTATTCAGAGTCACTCTGTAACTAAGGAACAAGTAAGCATTCTAATAAAATTGAACATGCTTCTGCCATGATGGAGTTTGCTTCTTGTAAACCTTTGTTTTTATTAGTAGTTATTGTCAAAGCATCATTTTTGTTTATTTTGTATGAATGCATGTGTAGTGTGTGTGTTTGTGTGTGTGTGTGTGTTTGTGCATGTGCATGTGTGCGTGCGTTTGTGCATGTTTGGCACCTGTTTGTGTATGCAAGTATGTATGTTTGATATCAAGTGTCTTTGTCAGTTGTTCTCCATCTTATCTTTTTAGGCAGAGTCTTTCAAAGAACCTGGAGCTCACTGATATAGCCAAGATGGTGGGCCAGTGAGCCCCAGTTATCCTCTCGTCTCTGCCCCCCAGCACTCTAGCACAAAGTGTGCCACTATGCTAGCCTTTTGGCATAGATGCTGAAGATCTAAACTCGGGTCCTCACATGCTTGTATAGCAAACACTTTACCAATTGAATTACCTATCCAGACTGTTCTGCTTTTCTCTGTTAATGGTTTTTCTTTTCTTTTTTCCTTCTTTCCTCCCTCCCTCCCTCCCTTCCTTTCTTCCTTCCCCTTGCCCTTCCTTCCTTATTTTTTGAGACAGTCTCGTGTAGTCAAGCTAGGCTTGAACTCTATGCAATTGCGACTGCCCTTGAACTCCTGATCACCCTGCTTCCACTTCCCAAGTGCTAGTACTACATATATGCACCACCACACCAGACAGAAACTCTTTTTGAATACTGGCAGTATCTATCATCATTTTAGTAGCATCTCATTTGCATGCATAGTCCTTCTGAACTATACTCATGGTCCATCAGAAAACATTTTAAAAACATTAGTTCATATTTGCAAAAGTCACAAAACATCTTTTTTTGTATGTGAATCTATAATTTCTCATGCAAATATTTCTCTTCTTTGGTATTTATGAAATGTTTGAAAAGTATAAACAGTTTTAAGATAATTTAATGTTGCAGACATTTTCTTCTCAGACATGCTTTTTGCAAGCCTATTAAATGCTTCCTAGATTACAGGCAGTAATTTATGTGTACTTTAGCGATTTTCCTAAGTAAATGGAGTGCTTGTGAAAGAAACTAGCAAGATCATATCAGTCACCAAATTTCACAAAATAAGATCTAGCTTATTTTTGTTGGAATTCTCCTTACATTCCCAGTACACTGTTGGTATTTTTGTCAAGATGATTCTTGGGAGCACACAAGGTTGCCAGAAGGCCAGTGCTTTGATGTCTGAGCAGGCTATTAATGGCTACCAAGCCTGACGTACAGTATTTTATGACATAGCTACTCATGCCACAGTATTATGACCATCAGCTTGTCTCCTAAGAATTTAGGGTTAGTTAGAACTCCGAGGAATAGGGATTTCTAGTGATATATCATGATCACAAATACTACCATGTTTAAACTGTATATTAATAATTAAAAAATGTACCATAGGAAATTTTCTTTCAGTTTGCTATGATTAAAACCCAATAATAAGAGATGAATTCAGTGTAGGAAAGTTTTTAAATGCTCTAGCTCCTAATCACAATTGAATTTATAGAAAAAAGCATTTGGGTAATAAAATAAAAAGTAAAATTATTTCTAGAGACAAATTGATTCACTCAATTACTTTCTCAACAACTAGTTTCTGAACATCTATGTGCCAGGCTCTCTGTCCAGAAATTACATAGGTGAGTAAAATAAGTTTCTGACTTCAAGAAGCCTATGATGAATATACTTAAGAATTGTACAAGGTGACTTTCATCCCTAAACAAGGAACTCTGGTACACATATTTAAATTACTTTATTATTTTTATTTTATGTGTATGAGTGTATTGCTTCCATGTATGTCAGTGCACCAGTGTCATGCCATGCGATCCTCTGCAAGAGCAGCCAGTGCTCTTAAGTGCTGAGCCATCTCTCTATGCACTGGTATGTATATTTAAATAACATACAATTTTCTCCAAGGATATTAATTTCTAAACTGGTAACTGTGATTTAAACAAATGTCCCAAAATGTGCAGTGATAAGTCCAGCTGAAAGTACACATATAGTAAATTGAAACGTTTCTAATGATTATAGAAAAATACATTCTTTCTATATGTGCATGCTTTTGAGAACTAAAGGAAAGCAGTATAAGTAGGATGGAGATGGTTATAAAGGATGTCCCTAATGAAGTAGTAAGAGATCCCTTGTTCCCACAATATTTCCCACAGTGGAAAAGACTAGATTACTAAAATGCCTGTTAGAGTTCAATGAAAACACTCATGGACATTTCTGGGGTCACCCCTCTGCTCAGCTCTCCTTGGTCTTTAGCTCCAAACCCTCTCAAATGGACAGCTATGGCAGAGGGGAGAGGTCCTGGAAAGAATCCTTTAAGTCTTGAGCCCAACCCTATGTGACCTGTTTCAGAGTGCTAAGTGGAGCACACTTAACAGCTGTGCAATCCAGTCCTCTCGTCTGGACTTTCCACAGCGTGTGCCAAGTAGTGGTCTGGCCTGTAGAGTCATTTTAATCCTGAACTTGGCATTTAGATATATTAAATGACTAAGAAGGAACTATTAGCATGGCCTCTTCTAATTCAAAACCAGCAACTTTATAATTCTGTTAGTGGGAATACATTTTAATTTTCATTTAAAACATTTATTTAGCTTATCTATTTTTAAAGACAGGATCTCTGTATGTAGCAAAGACTAACCTTGAACTCATGGGAAAACTTCTGCTCCAGCCTCCTGGGTGCTAGGATTATAAGTGTGACCTGCCCTATCTGGCTGTAAACATAGTTTAAATTCAGAATTTTGTTGTGTTTCTTGATCATTTAGCAAATATATTTCAAAAGACAATTTCCTTCTGTGTTTACAATATTCAATATTTTAAAGTCTAACACATTATGAACATTTGGAAAACAGAATATGTCAAATGGCATGAATTTCAATTATACGAAAACTGAAAAGATTTTTTTGAGAAAGTGGCAGCTGGTTTCTTCTCTAATTAAATGGTGTTCTTTGTTACATTCATAAGATTACCACTATGATTTAAACACTGATGATATTGCACAAAAAGAAACTCTATTTGGAAGGAAGGAAGGACTGGGTATCCAATTTCAGAAGGCCTTAAGTTACCTAGCAAGATAGGCTTCTGATTACCAAATAGGGAATACTTTCACATCTATGCAGAACACATATTGACAAACAGGCTGATAGCATGTGCTAAAGTTTACTACAAACAAAATTATGTATGACACACTGTCAAAGGGTGCCTTTCGATTTAGTAACAATTGACATTAAGAAAAGGTCATCTCTATTCATATTCATTCTGGACTTTCATTAGGAATTGTTTTTAAAATTCTTATAGAACAGGTTTATCTTAAAGATATTTTAGAGGAAATAGAAAAATTCAACATAAAATTAGCAAAGGCCGCTGCGAAAGAAAATCAACCCTTTTCTAGTTACCATTTACTTGATACTACTGTGTTTGCTTTGGTTTGTTTTTTCATTTGTTTGGGACAGGGACTTGCCCTGCTGTCCAGCCTGGTTTCAAACTCCTTAGCTAAAGTGATGCTCCTGCCTCATCCTCCAGAGTAGCGTGGACTAAAGGTACATACCACTACCTCTAGCACCTTTACCAGCACTTTAAGAAAAATACTGGCTTTCAAAAGAGTTTAACATAAATTCCACATTAACCACTACTGTGCATTGTTATCTCTTGCTTAACACCATCAATGACTACTTTGGTTTCAGCAAACACTGCTTAAAATCGGAACCACCAAACTAGCCAGAAACTATTAATCTGCCCAACACTTTGATTGATCTTCAAGTTGATGCTTAGTCTATCAGATGGGAATCATGTAGGTATTATAAATCTGCTTTATTCAATAATTTCTCTTAGTAAATTTGGAACTTGAAATTACTTTTACCTTATAATCCAGGAGAGAATTCACTTGTTCTACCTCAGAATTACTTATCATGTCACTTCCTTCATCATCAATAATTTCTATTTTCTGTAACATAAGTAGAGAAATGTTGACAAATATATATATATATATGTATATATCAGACCACTACACGCAATGTGTACATGATACCTATTCAATATTTAAGTTTGATGACTGGGGGGCGGTCTTGGTTATGTGGAATAGACACTGATAATTGGCTCTTCAGTGTTTCACACAGCATGTGTCTATCACACCCTTATATCTTTAATTGACAATTGATTAGAAAACAGAAAATCACTTCAATGCTATTTAAAACAGAAATTATATTTTCACAGTATCCCTGAAAAAAATAGGAATTCAACTGTGCTTAAATAGCGCCCTCCAGTGATATGGAACTAGTTTTTAGTAAGGATAATCTAATATATATATATATATGGATATATATGTATATGTATATACACACAAACGGGTTTGAGAGAAAGGAGATCCTTTGCCGTCTCTCTACATGTGTCTTATTTCTAATGAAAAACGTTAGCATACGGCATATATTCCAAAGGAAAACACAATTCCTGAAAATTCATGTATTTAATGTATTCCATTAGCTAGACAATTGGAAGCAGACATCTATGATGTTATGATGAGAATTGCATGGTGATTTGTGTTCTTTACATGGATGCTAACAAAGAGGGTGAGGAAAGGGGAGAGATAGAGAAAGGTGAACATGCCCTTAACTTCAGTGCTAAGGCACAGCAGAGCTTTGTGCAGTATTTTGTACAATGTAGGTACTAATTAAATATCTGTCTAGTCAATAAACAATACACATTGGTGCTGATGAAAATAATGACCAGTAAGTTCTCATGAGGAAGGTAAAGCAAAATTTTACAACACAAAGCCTTTCTTTTTAAGCAAGACAAAAACAACAAGAACAAAAAATCTGCTCAAAAATTGCCTTTCCATGTAAAAAACAGTTAAGGGAAACCAACCCACACTTTAAAACGTTCAAACCCTGCCAACCCAAAAGAAAGTTTCAAAAAGGGAAAAGCTAAGCTAGATTTAGTCACTAGACACTCTTTTAAGAACAAGCACATTGATAGCAGCATGTCATAGGCAGAATATGAAATTAGACTTCCTACCCAGCAATATATATAGTGATTAAAAGTCACAAACAAACTTAGAATGATCATACTTGATATACTGCCTGAGGATATGACACCACTACAGAGTTTCTGACCTGCAGGCTGTGAGTCAGATGGACAGCTGCAGTGAAATTGTTTTCTACCACTGCCTGAAGATGAAGCTAATGTTTTGTTGTCCAATATTATCACTCCAAACTTGAGTTTTAATCATGTTGGCTCTCTATAGACCTTAGACTTGAAACTTTTTGTTTTAAGTTTTTTAGAATTTTGTACCTATTTGGTTTGGTTCTGGGAAAATGGAGCTAGATGTTTAAGGAAAGAAGACAGCAAAGGCCACTCTATAGATTTCTGCATATAAATAGGTCTTATGTGTCTGTGTGATTTGTTATCCATGAATAATTGGGGGCACTCAAAAGTTACAAGCAGAGGAGATCAACCTTTGAAAGTTTGGAGTTTTGTCTCTGAAAATCAATTGTTCTTGAAAAATTAGGTGCCTAAGTAACTATGAGTCATACCATGCCACGACTTCATTTATTATCTACAGCTGTCTGCTGTAAGGGAGAGTCAGTGCAGAGAAATTCAGGCAAAAAATGAACATGACTTTAGGTAAAAAAGGGATTTCAATTTATGAATAATTGCATACAACTTGTGCACTATTACTCAAATCTATGACAGAGGGAAATTATTATTTGGTGAGATTTAACATATTAGCATAATTCAATGTGGAAAATAATTATCACTAACCTTTAATGAAAAGAAATGACTGTGTCAAAATCAGACTTATTTTCCAATATGCCTGTTGAATTTAGTGTTTAGAAGGGTCAAATACAGACTTCAAGCAGGACAAAAATCAATAAATTTCAGTCCTAAAATCTCTACTATATGTGGGGAAAAGTTAGATATTATTGATATTTAACAAATATACATTTTATGTGCTCCATTTTCATGAAATAGCTGTGTTAGGATTATAGTGTCAAAGAAACAATGTTTATAATACAAGTTAGCATAAACTAATATCACAACTACTTTGGAACAGAAATGAAGGGTCATGTTTCATAAAAATCAAGCATGGAATACTGATTTAAAAGCAAAAATAGAAACAAGATAACATTTTCCTTTGCATCTGACTTTATTTAATACTATATTGAATTCTGTAGCACCTTACGGGGCCAAAATATAAACAAATTCTGCTAACACAGCTGCTGAGGGAATATCATGATATGTTTACATCTTTACCAAACCCAGTTTAATCCATACAGCCTGTCCCTGCCGCTCTTCAAATTCTTAAATACTGTCTCTTTTTCTTTACCGTGGTTTTCAAGATGATTAAAAGTCCAATATAGCTAGGAAAAAGAAAAGGTTCTAAACATAGTATAGATAGATACAGTCTGAACAGAGAAATCCTTGGATGCAAGCACCATCACTAACAAAGGCTTCCTTCATGATCTCCGGCTAAACTCCATTTTAATTCTGCCATCTGTCAAACGAGAAGAAATCTGCTCCTTGCTCAGTGTATTGAAGAAAAATAAGTTGTTATATATAAAACATGATATATTTTATCTAAGTATTAGGTTTTTATATTTGCAAATATCCAAAGTAAAAAAAAAAAACCTGAAGTATTTAAAATTTACTTATTAAGCACTCAAAGTTATATCACATTCATTGGAAAAGTTCCATTTTGATTTATGAAGTGGAGCAAGACTTTATTCTAACAAAACTGATGCTGTCATCAACTGGCACCATGTCACTGATCTCCATCCTGTAATGAGGAAAGAATTCCAAACTGTACATACCACATTATCTGCGGATACTGCGTGGTGGTCTTCATCTTTATGAGCCCTGGTCTCATTTGGAACAACTTCATTCGACTCCTCTGTAGAAAAAAAAAAAAAAAGCAAATACTTCATTTCTTGTATTTCAAAACTTGTGTGTATGCATGCGTGTATGTGTGTTAAATGCTTAATTTATCTACTGTCAAAGCATACAAGTGGCAAATTTACTTCAAACATGCTTCAGTGAGCATTTCTGCTCTTAACATAACTAAATAAGTGTAGAGGGGTGGAAAAATGAAGCTCTACAATTTCTAATATTAAAAACTGGGGAAACCTATATCTTCAGCAATGGAGCTATACAGATTCATGTAGGATTTATCTCTATAATAAATCCTATGAAGTCAATAAATTTGAAGCATAATAGTTAATAAAGAGGAAGGTATTCATGTGATAAAACCTATTATGTTGGTTCATATAATGTTAATTTTGTAAATGAAAACATAATTTTCTTTGGAGAAAAAAAAATCCATGACACTCTGCACTCAAGTTTTTCGATTATTGTCCCTGGGTAGAATTGCAGGCTATTATATGTGATGTTTTTCTTTCTTTTGTTTTTGTTTACTTAAGTATCTCTATAATACTATATTTTTTTTTGTAGAAAGGGTCTTGATATGCAGGCTGGCCTGGAACTAACTATATAGACCAGGTTAGCCTTCTAAGTGTGGGATTCACAGGTGTGTATCACCATTCCTGGCTCTGATCATTGCATTAAGAAAAAATCAATAAAATAATTTTTCAATAAATGATGCAACACTGTAATTAAGATTTCCATTTCCATTTTTATAAACTGGAAGGATTATTTCAATGTTTGTATATGCATACTCTTGTACATATGCAAAAAAAATTCAAAAAATATCCACCTTGCTCTTGGTTTCAGAGGGGTTATAGATTATATCCATTTTCATTATGTTTCCAAATATTTTTTAAAAGAACATATATTTCCACTCTGATCAAGTCCAATATTTCAGAAGTTTTATCTTTATTTTATAAGTTATCTAATATTTTATTATTAGAAAGATGAATTAATCCAGAGAAGCTAGTCTTAATATAAAAGCTCTCTGTGATGAGCAAATGGCTGCCTCCAGGCCCTGGGTGTTGCATACATTACCCACCCAGTTTATATTATCCTCACTCATATTGCTTAGAAAAATAGAATAGCACTGTTTAAATCTCTGTGTCTCATTTTTCTGCACAGGAATGTCATGGACATTATTTGGATAAATACTAGTAGAATTTCTCAGTTCCTTGGTGAATAACATTTTAATCCACCTTAGAAAGCAAAATGAAAATATTTTATCAGTCTTCCTAAGATTTTTCTAAGTCCATTTATTCCCACGCATAAGCATGGAGAAAGATTAAGAGAAATTCATTTATGAGAATTCTGTATAAGAATTAAAATATAAGATATCCAGGAAAAACTTAGCAGAATTTTAACGTGTTTTTCTATATAAATGAAATTTACTCTTTTTGTACCTACTAAATTTTTTTTTAAAAATTTTATTTGATGTATTTGTGGTATCCAAAATGATATTATAGATGCATATAACAAAGTGGTTACTACAATGAAAACAAATTACCATATTTATCATCTCATAGTCACCCATCCCCTGACAACTGCTGCTGTTAGTACTTTGCAAAAATTGTGACTATAATATACTATCACTAACTATGGTCTTCAGTTTCTTTATTAGATTTTTCTGCTACACATTGCTATTTTGTACCTTTTGACATACATCTCTCCATTTTTCCCTCCCCATTAAGAACACCTGTGTTTTATAATTGATATATTTGACCTTTCTTGCCCTGCCATTTACTGCAACACGGATGAAACTGGAGTCCATTATGCTAAGTGAAATAAGCCACATAGATAGAAAGAAAAAAAGAGACACTGCGTGATCTCATTTATTTGTGAAATGTAAGAAAAGTCAATTTAAGATTTTATGAAAGAATGTTTCCCTGACAGAGGGAAGTTTACTTATTCATTATTTAGGCATTTCAAGTCAGAGACAGTTCATGTCCTACATAATCAACAACTAAATGAAATGGAAAGAGGGAAAATTGTCATCAGCTTTAGCTGCAGATCCGATATTAAGAATAGTGGTCTCTGAAGAGGGGTTATATTGCTCATCAGCAAAATCATTACTGGTACTATTCCTTATAGGATTCCCTTATATTCCTGTTCTCACGTACTCATAACTTTGTACACAGTTCTGCTTTACTGGCAGTATATTTATGCATGGTTTGATTATTTTACACAATTTCAATAAAAGCTGTTTTGAAGCTTTTAAAATAAAAGGGTGTGAAGTGATCAGTTGAATAAGGAATGTTTTCCTTTGCATATAGATAGCTTCAACATTAGCAAAAGTTAGAAACCCTGTCAAAGTGTCTGGTAAAACAGCTTTCTTGATTTATTCCTCAAGAACAGCAGCTCTGCTAATTGAAAAACAGAAAGTAAATTAATCAATTAAAACTCTAGAGGGCACTCTATGTGGAGACTGTTTGCTCACACTAAGTAACTATGCAGAATCACTTTCAGGTGCACACCCACATATAAAGATGCAGCTGAAAAAGAGGCATTTGTACTAAACTTATAAATATTGTTTTTATACTTTAAAAAATTTGCCTCTCAGGATTGTGCAAAGCTTTAAAATTGCTCAATCATAAATATACTTTGGTAGAAAACAACTTGAAATTAAGGAGCTCAGTTATCAAAGTATTACTTTTGCTGAAGTTTCCAAGTTCTACAACAGGTGAACCCAAGTAGTTATTTTTCCCCTCAAATCAGTCCAAGAATGCCTATCTTCTCTTCACTTTCTCACAGGGAAAGAAAAAGGAAATGTAGGAGAGGAGGGTGAGGAGTATAAAGTAGACTGACAGGAGTCAGAAACTGTCAGGGACTATCTGCTTTTTCTGAAACAAAACAATGCTTAGGGAACTGTTAAAGGGTCATGAGTATGTTTGGTTAATGGCAAAGCCTGCCTCCTTTTGCAATTTGGAGAAAATCTTTATTTTTCCTTGGCTAGATACTGAAAAAAAAACTATGTGGTTTTCATTTGTTTATTTTTAAAACATGTATTATGATATGTAAGCCCTGGTTTAAAAAAAGATTTTTCCTGTTCTAAACATTTAGAATACTCTAATCCTGTTAAATTAACATCAATGTGATTATCAGGACTCTGAACTGCAGTTGTTAGATTTTTGAGATATCTTTACTCTTCTCGGATATAATCAATCAGTGGATCTGAAAGTTAACATAATAGTCATAAACAGGAAGACAATATGGTTAGTGTATTTTAGAGGTAGGCTATTAGTCTCAGCCAGATGAACAATTAGTCATAAACAAAGGATCGCATACTCAACACAATCAGATTAGTATTCTCCTACAGTGAAATGAAGAAGACCATAGTACAAACCTAGTCGGAAACGGCACCAAGGGGACTTCTTTCAGCATTTGAAAATGCTTTTCAGTTGCAATTTCTGATGAGAATGAAAAGGTTACTGCACAGCTGTGAAAAATAAGCCACCGGTAGAACTGCTAGGAAATTGTTTACTCCTCACCCAGTGTTTTTTGATTCATACATTAAATTCTCTCTTTTTTTCTCATTAGGTCTTGATTACTATGCCAGCTATCCAGACAACACACTATTACCTGACAGAGGATGCTAGCGCAAGAGCAGTGGTTTATTAAATGTGGATCATTAAAGAAGATTTTAAAATTAACATTCCCCGCTTTTCTATTAAGCACCGATTTTCTAAAATTCTTTCAGGAGGGCAAGTGGCAGTTGGGGAATGAAAACCTGGACTTCAGGGGCCTCTGTACTTTCCTTTACTAGAATATTTCTTCACAGCAATCCTTTGCAGAGAAACACATAAATCTCTTCTTCCCTAGTACCTTCAGTTGAGCATTAGTTTCTAAAGACCTTGTCTTTATAATTATTTGAAATTACACGATTTCCAGGCACATACAATTTTGGAAAGACTAACCAAAGCCCAAACTGTATTTACTGAACTAAGAAGAACTAATGACCTTAGAAATCCTGATGATTTTTAAAACTTCAGGAGTTTTCCTTTACATTAATTTTATAATTTGCAAAAATAAGAGGGAGGGAGGGAGAGAGAGACAGAGAGAGACAGAGAAAGAGATGAGAGAGAGGGAAGAAGGGAGAGATGTGTGTATGTTTGAGAGAAAGAGAAGGAGTGAGGGGAGAGGGGAGGGGGGAGAGAGGGGAGAGAGAGAGAGAGAGAGAGAGAGAGAGAGAGAGAGAGAGAGAGAGAGAGAGAGAGAGAGAGAGAGAGAGAGAGAGAGAGAGAGAGAGAGAGAGAGAGAGAGAGAGAGAGAGAGAGAGAGAGAGAGAGAGAGAGAGAGAGAGAGAGAGAGAGAGAGAGAGAGAGAGAGAGAGAGATTGAGATTCCCATTTGATAACCTTTCAAACACCTGGTCTTAAACACCTCCTCTATTACCTTCATTATTCTCCCCATTACAATTTGCCTGCCCGCCCCCTGGGCATGCAATTAATTGCTTCTGCAAAGAACCTCTTAAAGACTGATTCAATGGCCTCTCCTTTCTACTCTATTTCTATGAGATCATTGAGATAATGACCCCTCTTATTTCTGAAATCTTTCTCTTTCCTTGGATTTAGCGATTACATACTATTCTGTTGTTCCTGAATGTTCTTTCAGTGGCTAATTTTTTTACTGCAGCCCCCAAATGTAAATATTTCTCAACACACAGCCCTTCTCCATTGTCTTGTCTGTTTTTTTTTTTTTAATTTCAATTAAATCTCTGTTTCTTTGACGAGGTATTATTGGCCTCAGCTTGGTGGATTACCACATTTCTTCTGTTTTAAGCTGTCTTTTGAGTTGCAGACCCAGAATATTCAGTGCTTTTCCATGTATGCCCTGCTATCATCTTAAGTACTGCAAATGTAAGTAATTTTCCTCTGAGAGTCTATGCATTGAGGGTGATTCCAATAAAAATCTTGAATGAATTTTGAGGACAAAATTGTGAAAAGAACTAGCTAAATCATTTTCTAGTTCATTTAGAAGAATCAATGTATTGCAATAGGTAAGAATAACAGAAACTTTACTGGATATTAAGACATTATAAAGCCACAGATGAAAACAGATCTAAATAGCATAATAGGAAGCCGAGAATTTTACTCTTGTGTGTGTGTGTGTGTGTGTGTGTGTGTATACATGTGGATATATATTTGGTTTTTTAAAGCTTCATTGAAACTAACTGGAAAAAGAATGAATTAATTATTTAAGAAATTGCATAGAACAACTAGTTATTTGAAAATGTAAAATTAGGTATTTTCTTTGTGCATCTTAAGGCAAAATAAATTCTAAGTGAAATAAAAATAAAATTGTAAAAATAAAACCATAAGGATACCAGAAGCAAACATATGGGCTTATTGTCACAACTATAGGGCAAAGAAAGACTGTAATTATGTCAACGAAGTCAGAAATCAGAAAGGAAAGTATGACTCTGCTGAACAACAAAAATTATGCACAAAAATTCTACCATCAAGGGGCCGGAGGGCTGGCTCAGTGGTTAAGAGCACTGGCTGTTCTTGCAGAAGACGCAGGTTCGAATCCCAGCACCCACATGGCAGCTAAGAACTGTCCATGACGCCAGTTCCATGGGATTCAACACCCTTTTCTGATCTCCATGGGCACTGCATGGCACAGGTGCACTTACATACATGCAGGCACTCGTATACATAAAATAAAAATAATTTTTAAAAACATCATAAGTAGGAGGTATTGACAGAAGGATCAGGAGTAATGAGAAATTCTAATCAGAAACTAATCAAATTCAAACTTGATGACTGCAATGATATATTTTGTTTCCTATATGATACCATTTTGAGTATTCTTCTACCACTTTATTGCCCTATGCCAAAAAATGGAGCTGTTACCCTAGTTTCTAACAGTTTTCAACCTGTCTATGCTGAAGTGATACTGTACTTAGTGACACAAAATCCTCCCTACATTTAAACTCCCGAGGTCTCTTAAGTGATTGGCTAAAATTCTAGAACTCACAGAAAGACCTAGTAATACTAGATTAGCTCAAAACTTAGGCCACAGCCAAATTTAATTATTGCCATAATTACTTAAATTATTTTATGATCAGTGATTATACTAACACATAATTTTTACCTACTTTTATTTTATTGATTTTTTTGTGTATTTCATACAGAACATCCCAAACAATCTTAGTTATCTTTATATTCCCATCCCAAATGGCACCCTCCCATCACCTTCCCCCCCTCCAACTGGAGCCCATATACTATGTCATCCCTGTTACCGCCCACTGTGCTGTTAGTGCCCCCAGCTCTTCCCCAGTGCAAGTCCATCTGCCGAGTCTAGTCAGCCTATCTAGAGTCTTTTGTTTTAGGAAGATCAGCTCTTCTTCATCTAGTAGCAATCAGGTGTGCAAACATTCCTTTAGATAAGATTGGGGTCTGCTTTTCATTTTCCCAGTTCTACTAACACATACTTTTATATAGTACAAATAACTTAGCACTTAATGATTACTAATATAGTCAGGCAAGGTAGCACATACTGTAATCCAAGTACGTGAGGGGTGGAGAATCAGCAGTTTAAAGACAGTTTTGGCAACATGATGATTTCAAGACCAGTTTTCTCAAAAATCCATCCATCCATCCATCCATCCATCCATCCATCCATCAGCAAATCAATCAATCAATCATTAAAGAGCAAAAAGGAAACTAGGAATTGAAAATAGCTCAGTATGTAAACACTTGCCATGGAAGCCTAAGGAGCAAAGTTGGTGTAGCCACCCACCTGTAGTCCCAGAGTAAGTGTAGACAGGGAATCTCCAGAGCAAGCCAGCTAGAGCCACAAAAGAGTGTTCTGGATTCATATGTGCCCGCACACCTGCTAACAAGCATACACACATGCCCACCCAACACACATGTGTACACATTCAAATTAGATAAACAAACCAGAAGCTAATTTGTCAATATCGTGAACTAGCTCAATGAAAAAAAAAAAAATACGTGATTTGTTTGCTGTGTGGTGTGATGAGTCTCAATCAGTTTCTCAAGCATATATACAAAACAACCATGTATTTTACTATCAGATTCATATACAACATACAAAAAAGATCACATATGTAGTCAGAAATCAGATTAGTGTGCTTGAACCTGAGGGCAAAAGGGGACATTGAGTAAATTTGGGGGTAAGGAAATTTTCTGGAGGGATAAAAAAGATCTGAAATAAGATTTTGGTGGGGATGATTGCACAAATCTATAAAATTTGGTAAAAAAGTAAATGGACTGTGCATTTATAATGAATAATTTTTATGCTACGTAAATTAGAAATTAATACATGTTAATAAAGTGGCATTAGAACTATCTCTATGTCTGAAGTCAAATGAAATACACTTCTTGTGGGAAAATGGTGTTCATGGTATTAACCCTTGCTGTTGTTTGCAATCTCATTCACAGAAACACTGAGAGTACTATAAAGAAGCCCCAGTCTAATTTCCTTTTGCAGGTGAGGAAACTGAAGTCTACTGAACTCAATGCTCTGCCCAAATTTGTGAGTGGAAAAACTCTGATATGCAGCCAGATTCTCAGATCTCAGCCTATTGTTCATCTTATACCATACTCTCCTTTGTTAGAGTATTTATAAACTCTAACCTAAGCTGACTACCATTCTAAATATAACCACTTATTTAATTATATGCACTGCTCTAATAACTGACATTTTTATATAAAAGGTATCACTGTTGTGATAGATGAATGTTATTTTGTGAGGACTTGACACTGAAGGCTGTTTAGGTGGAAACATTAAAAATAAACCTGTTTCTTTTCAAATGCTTGGTCACATGTTTTGAAAGCCTTAGATTTAAAGTGCAGTCCACTGAAAAGCAAGTAAAATACATTAAATTTCCAGAGGCTATTATTAGGACATACAGCATATAAAGTACCTTGAGAGCTTCCTTCGGACAAACAGATGGACACCTCATCATTTCTGTCATTATCCTCTCCTACTTCAGGCCCAGCTTCCTCCCCCGGTGGGAGTGCAGACAAAGAAGCAGACTCAGGCTGCTCAGAGAAATCAGCAGGGCCTCCTCTTGGAGGTGGGACTTCAATTCCCATTAAACGATATTTTCTTCTTCGGTTCCCAATCCAAGTCTTTGTAAGACAAATATAAGAGGAAGTTGGATAAACAGAAAATGGAGAAGTTAAGGGGATTACAATAACAAATGGATGAAGCATAAAGTATAATTAGAATGAATAGGCACATAAACCATAGAATTTTTATAGCAACATGCAAAAATAAGACAATTATGCTTTTAGTTTAAAATTCTTTGTTAATAGAAGGTTTTTATTTAAATATTAAGACTTTCAAATGAGATGCAGGCTATTAAAGATTGCTTTTGTTCCTGTTTATATTTTGTTTCTGAGGAAAATAATTCACCAAACCTTTCAAAAGGAAAAATGAATGGGTTCTCTTCCCCAGGAAGCCAGGCATACAGCGATGTCTATAGCTCATATCCTTCCAATCTTGCTCTTCATAGGTGAAAATGCAGCCTCTATTTATGTTTGCATTCAGAATTAATACCTTGCTGATTCTAGTAATCTACATTTTCATTTTTATTAGATTTAGAAACAATTAAATTAAATTAGTTATTGAAAAAAATCAATGCTTGGGAGCAACCCAGGGAGGTAATCATGCTACCACTGAGCTACATCCTTGCCTTAAGTTTTTTGTTGTTGTCCTTGTTGCTGTTTTGAAACAGGGTCTCATTCTGTAAACCATGCTGGCCAAAGATTCACAATGTAGCTCATGTTGCCCTTAAGACAATCTCCTGCCTCAGTCTCCTGAGTGCTAGGTTTTCAGGTGTGAGCCACCACATTTTTTTATATAAAGAAAATCTAGAGTCACAGAAAATTTCAAATTTCAGGGGCAGGTTGTATGTATTCTTCATTTTGTCTGTTCTAATTTATGCCTTTCAAAATTACAGCACAATACCAGAAACAGCAGGCCAGCTGCAGTGGTGCATGCCTATGAGCCATTGTGAATTTGCCCCTACCTTGGGCTACACAGGGAGTACCAGGCCAACCAGGGCTGCAGAGCAAAACCAAATATATGTAAGTAATGTAAATAAATATACATGATGTTCCCAGTTTGTGGCTATTACATACAAAGCTACTATAAAAAGTCATATGTAGATTTTTGGGTAGACAAGTTTTAGTTTGTAGCTGGAGAGATGGCTTAGCATTTAAGAGCACTGACTGTCCTTGTAGAGGGCCTGAGCTCGGTTCCCATCACCCACATGGGGCTGACAACCATCTGTAACTCCAGTTCCAGGTGATCCCAACCTACTCTTCTGGTCTCCACGAAGACAAAACATTCACACATATAAAATAAAAAAATTAATAGTGTATAAGAAATCTTGTCAATATTACCATGACCAGTAGTATTTTTTGTTTGTTTGTCCCCCCCCCCCCGTGCTGAGTATTGAATCCACCGTCAGTTGTTTTTTTTTTTTTAAAAAGTTTTTTTTATTTTATGGGTATGACTCTATTGCCTGCATGTAGGTAAGTGCACCGGTGTTGTGCAACACCCACAGATTTCAGAAGAAGGCATCAGATCCCCTGGAACTGGAGTTACAGGGGGTTTGTAGCTGCCACATGGATATGGAGCTCTGAACATAGGTCCTCTGCAAGAGCACTCAGTGCTCTTAACCACTGAGCCATCTCTCTAGTTCTTCAGGGAGTTCTTTTTGGTATTCCTAATGACTAATGATAGTAAACATCTTTCCACAGTTTTATTTGCTATTCATAAAGCCTCTTCAGTGAAATGTCTCTTCTTTTCTAATTGAAGTGTTTAACTCAACTGTTAAGAAAATTTAGTTCATTATTTAAAAATGCCCTGAAAATAAATCTTCAGCCCCCCCCAGAGCTATCATATCATAATAATAATATAAAATAGTTTTTAAAACAGGAGTAAACAAGGTATCCATTCTAAATACTTGTATTCAACAGAAAACTGATTTTAAGTCATGCACCAATTTAAAGAAAGGACAGGAGTTACATAGACTAGAAAAGAAGAAATGAAACTTTCCCTATTTATAGATTATAGAATAGGTTATACAAAAGATCCCAAGGAATTTTGCTACAGGCAATAAGTGGATTCAGGAACATCACTGAATACAAACCAGCATACAGAAATCAATTGTCCTTCTCTATAGTAAAGTGAATACATTGAAGGTACAATTGGAAATATGAGACTACTTGCTTTTTTGTGGTGCCGAAGATCAAGCCCAACATGCATGGCAGGCAAGCTCAATATCACTGAACTACATCCCCAGCCCTATGCTATTTTAGTAACTTAAAAATAAAATATTTAGATATAAAATTTATAAAACATGTACAAGACTCGAATGCTAGCAACATCAAAGGTTGATGAAACAATCCAAAACATTAGTGGTCCTAAATAAATGGAGAAACACTATATTAATGGATTCAAAGATTTAATGAACTAAAGTTGCACATTCTTCCCCAAATGATCTTCACAATTAAATTTTCTGTCAAAATACAGATACATATGTGTGTATGTATGTGTGTATGTATATGTATGTATGTATGTATGCTAATTAAGAAAGGACACGAATTAGTGCAGGTAAAAATGAAGTCGAAGGAATCCTTATGCTTAATTTCAATGATTGTTAGATTATGGAAATGGAATAGAAAACTCAGAAATATCGTCATGTAAGTATGGTAAGTTTAGCTGGCTTCTAACAGAGGTACACAATCTACTCAATAAAGTTATGTATAGTCTTCAAGAAAAAAATGGACCAATCACATATCCTAAGAAAATGTAAAAATAGACTTCAACCTAAACTCATACCTTGTATAAAGATGAACTCAGAATAGAGCACAGATTTAAGTTAAGCCTTAAATTAGATGATTATACTCCTTCTTTGTATATTTTGTACTTTTTAATCTTTCTTTTGTTTGTACATGATATGTATATGTATGATGTCTGTGATTTTGTGTGTGCATATGTTTGTGTGTGTGAATGCCAGCGTGTGCGAGTCACAGTGCACTAATGAAGGTCAGAGAAGAATGTTGGGGGTCAGTCTTTGCCTTTCACAAGCTCTCTTTGCTGTTTACTGTAGAGTACACTAGACTAGTTGGATCTTGAGCTTCCAGAGATTCTCTTGTCTGTGCCTCTCACTCACATCACCTTTAGGAGTGCTGGGATTATGGACATGGACGTCTATGCCAGGCTTTTACATTTAGTTCTAGGGATTCAAACTCAGATCTTCACACTTGCAGGACAAGTGCTATATCCTCTGAGCCATCTCTTCAGACCATATTTTTCAAAATTTTCAGCCTGGGGCTTGCTGATTAAGCTAGGTTGGCTGGCCGGCTGTTCTCAAAGATTGGTCTATCACCATTTCCTCATTTCTGGAATTACAAGTGTGTGCCATCATGGCTGGCTTAATTTTTTTTACTTTGACTTTCATACATGTATACAGTGAAATATGATCCACCTGCCCCTCTATTTCCTCCCTCCAGCTCTGACTGTAACTCTCCCAACATGCCCCCTCTTAACTTAAAGTCTTCATTGTTGTTGTTAACCCACTAAGTCTAATTAGTACCGCCCATATGTGTGGGAGTGTGGGGTTATCCACTGGAACATAGGAAACCTACAGGTTGCCACACCCTCAAGAAGGAATGGTTCACTGTCCCACAGCAGCTGTCAACTGCCAATACCTCCAATCTATGCTGGAATTTTGACTGGCCAGCAATAGCACTCCCAGGCATATACGCTTTTTATTTCTTTTTAGTTTTGCATGGGTTCTGAAGATTGAAGTCATGTCCTTATGTTTGCACAGTAAGAATTTTCCCGACAGTTGGGACTGGAGAGATGACTCAGCAGTTAAGAGCACTGGCTGCTCTTGCAGAAGGACAGGGTTAGGGTTCCCAGCACCCACATGGTGGTTAACAACCATCTGTAACTCCTGTTCCAGGGCATCTGATGCCCTCCTCTGACATGGCATGACATGAATGTGCTTAATATACATTCAGGCAATACACTTACACATAAAAATAATAAATGAAATATTTTTAAAAGAATTTTACTGACAGAGCTGTCTCTCCAGGCCTATCTTCGTATATTAACTAGAATTTCCTCTGTACAATAAGGCCTACTGAAATACAATGTCATTATAGATACTTTCTGATATAAAAAGCCTGATTAAATTTAGATTTATACTTGGTGAAATTTTGCAGAAAAATATATTAGGGCAAAACAGAAGAACTGTTCAGTTAGCTCATTTAGACTAATTGCATTTGCTGGGTGGGAGTTGGGGAGCAAATTCAGAGAACACAAACTTTGTATGTATTTAGTATTACATATTAAACATGAAATCTGAAACAAATGGATTGTTTTGGAGACTTCCAAGTGAAAGCTATGCAATAGAAAAATATTTATGGATGTTACAATAATTTTCCTAGCTTCATTAGGTTTCCCCAAAAGAAAATAAAGTTTCGAAAGTACTTTCCTTCCTATTTCTTTTTATATTGTCTCATTCAGTATGAACTGTCAGCCTTCAAAACATGAAAAGAACTAGATGTTTTTACGAAAACTCTTTAAAATTGTCATGTTGTTTCATGATTTCCTCTCTGTGAATACTGATGCTTATGAAATTGTAATGCAGAACATCTTCTACTACTTAATCTTAGCCAATGATGCTGTGCAAATGATTGCATGAGCCAGAAGGCAGACACCAGTTTCTTTAGGATGCTTCTAGTCTCATTTACATCATAAACCCTAAAGAAAAAGAAGGAAAAGGAGAACAGAAACAAAGTTTCTATTTATCTTCTGTGTGGCATGTGCAATGACAAAGGTAGACTATGTGATGAAAATATTGGGAAGTATTTGAGATTCTATTGTATACAAAGGTTAAAACAACTCCTCTTTAGATACCCCTTTAAACAAAAATGCAGAACCTGGCATGGTGGTATGCACCTATAACTGTAAGTTCCTAGCCAGCTGGGACTACATAGGGTGATTATTTTAAACACACACCCTGAAAGGTAATAAAAAATAATTAAAAATATAAATTCAGTGTTAAAGAGTTTGTTACATTTTTACAAACTCAAAGAGGAAAGCAGTT